AGAGAGCACACTAGGGAGGGGGCTTTTATTGGGGAACAAAAAATTTAAAATTCTGGGGAAAATCCCATCCAATAAAGAACAAGGGGGGGCTGTGTTGCAAGGTCAGGTACAATGATTGGATCTTTGGGGCTGTGGTGAGACATGCCTCCACACAGACAAGCTCTGGAACCCAAGAAGGGTGGGGAAAGCTCTGCCACATTAAAAGTGACTGAGAGTCTCACACGCAGCCTGGGTGGAAACTCAGGCACGTGCAACGATGGTCTCCCACAGTGGTGAACTATGATTCTTTTTTTTGAGAGAGAGAGAGAGAGAGAGAGAGAGAGAGAGAGAGAGAGAGAGAGAGAGAGAGGAGAGAGAGAATTTTTTAATATTTATTTTTTAGTTTTTCGGTGGACACAACATCTTTATTTTATTTTTATGTGGTGTTGAGGATCCAACCCAGCACCCCATACAAGCCAGACAAGCACGTTACTTCTTGAGTCACATCCCCAGCCCAAGAACTATGATTCTTAATGATCATTCATATTTCAGCCCTGTCAAGAAATATTAAAAGGATTGGTTTTAAGTAAGAATTATAATTTGTTGAAATTCATAGATAACACTATATAACAATGAATGATAGCTCTGTCATGTTCCTCACCTTGGACTATCAGGGAGTATCAGCAGCTGCCAGAAGTCACCCTCACATTCCTCCAGTCACTGTGCCTTCCTCCCCTCCGAAGAAGAACACTCTAACTTTTGCTGCCAAAGAATATTTTCTTCAGATTTTGAGATTCATGTAAAATCATGCGCCATGTTCTCTTTTTGTGTCTTCTTTGACTCAACATAATGTTTACAATTTACCCATGTTTTTATTTTTAGTTGAGTCCTATGTTTATTGTTGTAGAGTTTTCTGCAAATAACTACAGGATCATATATTGATTCATTCAAATGATGTGGAGATTTGAGTTGTTTGCACTTTCTGAGTAGCCAAATAATGATCCTACAAATTACCATGTCAATATCATTTGGTGCAAATGTGGATATATTTGTATATATTTATTAATCTTTGTTTTTTTCTTATGACCTCTGTTTATAAGACCTTTTTTCTAGAGTCAAATTCATGTTCTTAATGAAGCATGGCATACCAAAATTTCTTGTACTTGTAGTGTTCTAGTGTCCCTTTAAAAAGATCTTTGTAGTATAAGATCATAAAGTATTTTCAATAGTATCTTATACATGTTTAGTTATGTTTCTTTTACATATAATTGCACAATCTTTCTGGAATTGGTATTGTATATAGTGCATGCTATGACAATTGTTTCACATCATTGTTTGCATATCCAGAATTGACTCAGAATCATTCCTGAAAAGCCTTTTCCCCACTGCTTTGTTACCTTTGAAATACACAGCATGTTGATATACTCATGTCCGTTGTATTCTGCTGCCTTTCCAAAATGTGAAATATGATATATCAAGAACTATGTAATGTTTTGAACAACCAACAATAAAAAAAAAGAAAAGAAATACACAGCATGCAGATACGTCTGACTCTTGCTCTATGCTTCATTCTGGTCCATTCTATTATTTTCTATGGTTGTAGCCATGCATACCACCTTAATTATTTTAAGTTTATAGCATGTCTCATTAACTTTTTAAAAGATAACTTTAAATTAACTGATCTAATTGTGTTGTTTTTCCTGCCTACTGCATTGCTCATACTTGGTCTTATGAATTTCAAATAAATTTTACAAACAGTGTGATATATTTAATTCAATAATAGAATGACAGCATTTAGACTGAGTTTGGATTTGACCTAAACATAAATATGAAGCTAATTGACCTACAAGGTATACCTCTAATTGCCCTCAGAGATTATACATAACTTTTACTAGGTATACTCTTGGTGTTTTATATTTTTGATGTTATTTTATGAGTTTCTTTTAGTGAAATGTCCTAGGAATTAATTCTACTAGTATTTTATTCAGCTTTTTGTGTTGTGACAGAAAGACCTGACAAGAACAATTTTAGGAGAAAAAAAAATATTTTGAAGCCCAAGGTTTCAGAGGTCTCAGTCCATAGATATCCTACTCCATTCCTTGTGGTTGGAGGTAAGGCAGAATATCATGGTGGAAGAGTAAAGCAGGGGAAAGGAGGTCAACAGAGGCCACCAAGAAGCCAAAACAGGGAGAGCTCTGCTCAACAAAGACAATATATAAATCCCCAAATCACGCCATAAGGGACCCATCTCATGCAGCCACTACCTACCTGACTGTAGTCACCACCAAGTTAATATTATCAAAGGATTAATGTGCTGATTAAGACATTTATAACCCAATCATTTCACTTTTAAACTTACTTCATTGTCTCACACATGAGCTTTTTTGGGACAGCCAGTATCTAAACATCACAATTAGTTTTCACAGTTGCTTTTTGGTGGCTTTGTTTTCCCTTTATTCTCTTTCATGTATTTTATTATTTTTTCTTGATAATTTGAGAATTCTGAATAAGCTTCAAAGATAATACAAAATTCCCAGATAACCCTAACCTGGATTCCCCAATGCTATTATTTTTCTATATTATCCCCTTATCCTGCCACATTTATCACTGAATATGTAAAATATTTCTGAGTACCTGGCTCAGAGTAGGTGGATAAGATATGTTCCTCATGAATTGGTGTGATTATACTATGTATACAAAAAGAGATATGAAAAATTATGCTCTATATATGTAATAAGAATTGTAATGCATTCTGCTATTATATATAAATGAAAAAATTTACACACAAAAAGTATGTTTCTTACTCTTAAAAAATTATCAAGAATATTTACTAACTACAGTGTCATTGCCAAATTCCATAAAATAAACTGTTAGCTTTCACATATCATGGAGACCATGTGGCACTTGTCTTTCTGTATCTGGGTTATTGAACTTAACATAATGTCCTATGATTCCATCAATTTCAACAATTTTGATGCAAAAGGGAGGACTCGAGTCCTCTTTTTGGCCATATTTATACCACACTTTCTTTATGAATTTTTCTTCCAATGGGCATCAGATTTCATACTGTAGCTATTGTGAAGAGTGCCACAATAAACATGGAAATGTATGATTGCTGTTTCACAGTAAATATCTTTGTCCTAGTGGCTATTGTTTTTTAATGCATCACCCACCCACACTCCAATAAATAGCAACACAATACATTTCATTTTGTTCATTATTTCCAGATTCATATATTTAGCAAGGATTCTTGGCAGCTGCCTCTTGTGGTCTCTCATGAGATTGCACTTGGATCTCATCTGCAGCTGAGGTCATTGTAGACTTGACCAACCTGGGTAACCATGATAGTTCATTCACATGGCTGGTAGCTTGAAGTTCAACTGTGGCTACCCTCAGAAAAACATGCAAATACTCTCTCCCACATGATAGTCCTCAGAATACAGTTCCCATTAAGCAAACATCGATTGTCAAGAGGAGGAGGCCTAAGTCAAGCTGTGCTGCCTTCACCACATTCTGTTGCTTATTGACAACTCACCACTCTCAGCCCAGATTGGAGAGAAGGAGGAATAGACTGCAGAGATCAATAGATAGAGTGTTACAGATTTTGTGGGTATTTTTATAAACTACGTGTGTATTTAATATCTAAATTTGTGTATTTTCTAATTTGTTTTTTTTTGTGCTATCAAACATGGCCTTAATAACCTAAAACTTGTCAAGTAAATAGGAATTTCAAATTCTCTCACCATCTCTCTTAGTATCCTATTATATTTCTTTTGTTTTTGCCTTTCTCTTCTTCACTATGTATTTTCCCATATTCTATTTAATATTTCTATTTTGTTTTAACCTACACTGTTGTTAGACTCATCCTCTGGTTTCTTATTTGTAGTCACTGACTTTATTGGTCTTTTTACTGATATCTTTTTAGTTATATATAACTCTCAAATATTTATTGAATTTTTGTTATTTTCTACCAAGATGCATGTCATGTCATTTAATTTATAAAATTTAATCATGATTATTTGAATTAAGTATAAGGAAATACCAATACCACTCTATGAAAATCTTTTTATTTTTATCCTTTGTCCAATTTGTTTTCTACGCAATTTGGTTTATATGTATGAGGCTTTTAGGATTGACAGGCATCATATATGAAAAAAATCTATCCTAMAAAAACTTCAGAAAGAAATTTATTTAACTTCTTCAATTCACTTTATTTAGAGTAGATCACATTATTAAAAAAAATGAAGTGGTGAGATACAGGGCACCATCTCTGACAAAAATGTTTTTTTATAAAATACAATACAAGTTTCCTGGGTGTTTAATATGATTTCTCTTCTTTGGTCCAACCTAAATTTTATTTGTGTACTCCCAGGAAAAACTGGCAAAATGCTGAGATTTTCAGTGTCTCACCTGCTACGTTTGAATGCCCAAATGCCTCCAGGGAAAAATTGCTGATTCTAGTTTTCCTTTTCTCTGAACTTGACTCTTAAGTCTTTCTTCCCTGGGAGCTGTGCAATACTTTCAAACAGCACTGCTATATTCACATTTCCCTAAAGTCATTCCTGGGACTTTAGGAGATTTATACTTCTTTTAACTAACAGAGTTAGAAGCAGAAGCAGAATCCTTGAATAGGAGATAAGAAATTACTGATTGTGGGCTACAGCTTTCAGATGCCATCACTGGGTTATTGTCAAGTTTAATTCTGTTTATTGCTCTCTACTCCCATCTGTAGGAAACCAGACCCAGCTGCTACCCCAGTGCAATGACTCTTGGTCTGACCTAGCAGGTTCTGCAGCCTGGGAGGGCCACTCTGCCAACTGTTCAGGTGAGCAAGGCTTCCAGCAACAGAGCCTTCCCATTCCTTGTGCAAATGCCCACTGACATAACCCTGTCTCTCCTCAGACTGCAGACAGCTCCGCCTGGTGGATGGGGGATGTCCTTGTGCAGGGAGAGTGGAGATCCTGCAGCAGGGCTCCTGGGGCTCCATCTGTGATGACAGCTGGGACCTGAGTGATGCCCATGTGGTGTGCAGACAGCTGGGCTGTGGAGTGGCCCTGGAGGCCACCGTCTCTGCTCACTTTGGAGAGGGATCAGGGCCCATCTGGCTGGATGAGCTGAACTGCACAGGAGAGGAGACCCATGTGTGGCAGTGCCCTTCCCAGGGCTGGGGGCAGCACAACTGCAGTCACAAGGAGGATGCTGGGGTCATCTGCTCAGGTCTGTGATATATTTTTTGCATAGGCTGGAAGGGTCTGAAGGATGATGTCTGAGTCCTGTGGCAGGGTTGGGCAGTTGCTGACAGTGCAGTGGTTAGGTGGTGCTCTCACAATTCCTGTCCTTCTAGCAGAGGAGAAAATGAGGTGCTTCTGTTTCCTGCTGCAGCAGCTGAGCTTCTGCTCCTTCCATCTCAGCACTGTCCCCTGTCACAGTCATTCTCTACAGTGTCCATTTAAAGCTGTCATCACTCTTCTGTTACCTGCCAGTGCAACATCCTGACCCACTGAATTACTCTTCTATGTCTTCTGTAACAAATTACCATAGACTGAGGGTCTTAAAACAATACAAATTTATCACCTTACAGTGTGTAGGTTAGAAGAGTGACCTGGGTCTGTGTGGGCTATAAACAAGTGTCAGCAGGCTGCAACAGCTGGAGCTCTGGGAAGACTCCTTTTCTAACCTTTTTCCACTTCTAGAAGTTGCCTGAATTCCTTGTATGACCCCTTCCTTCTTCAAACCCAAAGTGTTTCAACCCTCTTGTCATTCCATGTTCACATCACACGCTGGTGAGGGACAGAATGGCTTATCTGTTTGTGAGGATACCAGTGTGAGGATGTCATTATATTGGGGAAATCCTATCCAGGATGATCCAGGATAATCTCACAATAAAAGCGTATTTTTTGTTAAGTTTTATTTTGTTTCTTGTTTGTTATTTTGGTACTGAGGTTGAATCAGGGGACTCAACCACTGGACCACAGCCATGACACTTTTGTTTATTTTTTTTATTTTGAGACAGAGTCATTCTAAGTTGCTGAGGCTGGCTTTGAACATGGGATGCTCCTGCTTTAGCCTTTCAATCAACTTGAAATACAGCCATGTTCCATCTTGCCTAGATAAAGGACCATTTTCTTCATCTTCTTTGAAAAGCCTTTTGCAACATGAGCTAAAATATTCATAGTCTCCCAGGATTGGGAAGTGGACATATTTGGAGCTCCACTATTCTACCACCCTTTGTTTATGCTCATTTTTAGGATCTGTCTGATGGTTAGTCAGCAGACAAAGATTTCACTTTCTACAGAGCCCCCAGATCAGTGTTCCTGCCTAATCATTTGCTATTATTACATGGTTGTAGAAAGAGAAAAAGAGGTACAAGTTAGCAAAACAGGTTAAAGGGACCAAAATTTCAGTCTTCTACCTAGTGGGCACTTCCTCAGCAGAGTCAGCAATGAGCACTCACTACTTAGGAATAAAGAAAAAACAGCAGTAAGAGCTGAATGCTCACTGATCCCTGTTTTCCTCTTTTCCATTTCAGAGTTCCTGGCCCTCAGGCTGGTGAGCCAGGACCAGGAGTGTTCTGGGTGGCTGGAGGTTTTCTACAACAACACCTGGGGCAGTATCTGCCACAGCCACATGGAACCCAGGACCTTATCCATGATCTGTAGACAGCTTGGCTGTGGGGACACTGGGACTCTGAATTTCTTGGTTCCTCCCAGGGAAGGTTCTAGACCCCGCTGGATAGATGGAATCCGCTGTCGAGAAACTGATAGCTCTCTCTGGCAGTGTCCTTCTGACCCCTGGAAACACCAATCTTGCTCTTCAAAGGAGGTAGCTCATATCACGTGTACAGGTGATTACTATTGTCTATTTCTATGTGTTTGTCCTATGCCTGTAGGTTGTTGTTAGGAAAATTTCACATGCTCAAATATAATGGATGATTTGAAATAAGTCTACAAAATGAATACTGGATAGAGATTACCTGATCAACATGTTGCAGTCCTGTTTCAAAGATAGATGTGAGGAAACCATTGATAACAATTTATATGAAAAGTACCAGAGACTGAACTGAGCATATGAGAGCATGAAGTTATACTCTGTTGAACGTTCTTAGAAATTAGCTAATGCAGTCTGAAGTTATATTAATTAAACTGTATTATCTTAGTGACGGTGAATTATTGGATCTCAGTTATACACATTGCTTGCTATGTGGGATCACTTTGTTCCCACACTTCCACTCCACCATAGGTAATGTGGCTTAATCATCACTATCATCTGATGATAGGTATCACAATTATCATTTATCTGAGATGAGGAAATGGAGGTTAGGGATACCACTTTATATCTCTCACACTTTCATGTGAGTAAGGGGAAATTTGGGGAATCAAATATATTGGGCTCTTTACTCTGAAATCCATCTAAACCAGACAGACAGCCTCTCAGGTCATTTTGTTGATGGAAAGTAATCTAGTGATTTGTAGGTAGAAACTTAATTCCAGGCAGTAGGACAGACACAGAAAACACCACCACCACTGTCTTCATGGATTTTCTATTCCAGCCTGACAATAAAATTATGCATATATTTGAGTGTCATGAAGGTACGGTGGAAATGTGTGATTTGAGGAACAAAGAAATCATTTTTAGTTTGATAACTAAAGGAGGAGTAGAGGTCCAATGAAAGAGAAAGTAAAGTATTTATCAGTGTAAATACTGAGGTGGAAGGAACATAATGACCTTGAGAAGTACTGATAAAAATCTCATCATGAGCAGAGCAAGAAGAGGGTGGATGGAGAGATGCATGATTACCTGGATGGTAAGAAGAGCTAGAGGTACCTCCAAAGCGTGGCCCCAATAACAATCCTGTTGAAAAGTGGTTTGTTATTTTTCTCATCTCTACATTATGGGGAATTTCTTTGAGATGAGGCATGGGTCTTCCCTTATTTTCTTCTTAGATTTATCTTCTCATAGTCCCAGTAGTCTTGGTTGATACTATATCCTCTGAGCCTTTATCCACATCCTACTGGAAACTAATATGCCACTTTATCCCTCTCCCAGAAAACATTCCATGGGGCCTGTTAGAAGTTGGAGGCTATTATCTTCTGATTTCTTAAGACCTATAATGTCCACTTCAATTTCTTGTTCTGATAAAATCCTGGCTATCATCTGAAAACAATAATGTCCTCATCATTTGGAGGCTCTATGCTTCCCTTTCAACATGGTTCATTTTGAAGGTCAAGACTTAGAATATGATTGTATCCTTTTATTAGAATATTTCTGGTGCGTCTTGAAATTTTCAACTATTTCCTTTCTTTTTCTCCATGTCCAGCTACTTGAAATTTGCCCCATAAAGTGGCGCCACCTACCACTTCTGTTTGTGTCACTCTCCAGCTTAACCACTCCCATCATTCAGGAAGTCTGCAATACCAGCTTACCAAGCTCTTCTGTCTCCTGTTCTGGTGCTGCCAGGATCTTTGTACATACTGAGATAACATACTGGCCTCTCCTTTCCTGACTCTCTCCCTTTGAATCACTCTGCTCCCTCCCACCCTATCTCCATGTATGGCCACACTATTGACCATCACTACCTGTCCAGCTTGAGACCTCGATTGCATTGTTTCCTTCTGTGACTGTTTCCTCTTCTCCTTCTGGCACATATTATTGATGCTCCTTTTCCAGATATTTTATCCTCATCAGATTCCAAATGCTTTCCCTTATCAGTTTTCCAGTTTTCCACTCTCTTCAGAATTGCACATGTTCTTCTTACCCTACTTAGACAATATGATGCCCCATTATGATACTCTCCCTTCAAGTACATTGAACTCCCTGCTCTCTTCCTTATCTGTCAATGGCAAGAGTGGTTGTGCAAATACCTAAATCTTCCCTGCATACATGAGACTAAGCAAGGATTGCTGAGTAACAAACAAATATTGTATCTTGTAATAGTGTGAAATTATCCTGCTATTCTCTTTGAATTTGTAATCAACCTCTGATGGACCCTCTGGCCCATATTGTAATGTGCTTCTCTCACATATGTTCTTGCCCTCACTGTAACATGTTATTTTACAAATTCTCAGTTTTTCCTCATGCTGATATTTTAACCCCACCATACACTTAAATGATAATACCTCAAATATCCCTGGAAAATAGGAACCTTCAGCTGTCCACTTTTGTTTTTCCTCTTAAGGTCACTCTACCTTATTGGCTGTTCTTATTCCATCTTACAGATTTGCTATTTCTCCATTTGCCTTATAAATATTAGACAGTTCTTGGTTGAACCTCAGACTCTCTACTCTTCTTCTTTAAATGTCCTGCTTCCTCAGATGTGTATTCTAAAGATGTTGAATGGAATATTGTGTAGATATCTGCTAAGTCCAGTTGATTTATAATGGTAGTGTAACYATGATGTATGCTTATTGATATTTTCTCTGCATGCCAAATCTATTAGTGAAATGGAATATTAAGATACCACTAGGGACTGGGGATGTGGCTCAAACTGAAGCTTAAGCACGCTCACCTGGCATGCATGGGGCACTGGGTTCGTTCCTCAGCACCACATAAAAATTAAATTTAAAAAAATATTTAAAAAATAAATATTAAAAAATTCTCTCTCTGTCTCTCAAAAAAAGATACCACTAGTATTGTACTGAAGTTTTTTTCCCAATTATATCCTATGAGTGTTTTTTAAATACAATTCTGTGTTCTTTTCTTTAGTGCAATCTTCTTCATATATTCTTTATTTCCTTTACTCATATGTAATAACCTTCTTTTCTGACTGATTTTGGAGTGTATTTTTTCATATATGAATACAGCTACTTCTGTTTACTCTCAGGTTTCATTTGGTTGCTATATCAATTTTAATACTTGTCTTCTCAGTCTATATATGTCTCTGCCTATGTGGTGAGTTTCATGCAGAAAGCAAGTTATTGGCTCTAGATTTTTAATGCAGTTAGCCAGTCTGCATCTTTTATTTATTTATTTATTTTTACTTTTTTTTTT